CTTAGCTTAATGGGTATCATTTGGAAAGGTGTAGATTCAGTGAAAGGAACTTGCCATCCAAAAATTTCAGAGGGCTATTATGTCATACAGCATAAGCATAAGGCGATGCAAGATACTGGGTTTAGCAATTTCTTAAATATCCATAACATTAGCATTACCTTGATAACAGTTTTGAACTATACATTAGCATCTACCTTGATAACAGTTTTGAACTATCATGTATTTCAGGCTGATTTTGAGCACATGCATGCAGAGTTAATTACACGTGACATGCTTGGGACAACTAACAGTCATCAATATGGGTTTTGAAGTAAAAAATATAGTGCAGAGGTTACAGACAAATGTTTTCCAGATATAGACAGCTAGTTTACTGCCAATTGTCACTAACCGCATTGTAGACAACAATATCAGGTTCCAACCCTAGGTCCCGCTTCCCAGGTGCCCCAGATTTGAACTTCTTGGGAGGAGATCGCATGCTATCTATTACATCAAAAAGTTCCTTCATATATCCTGCTTGTCCGAGAGTGACAGCTATGGAACGATAAGCTACTAGGTCAGGATACAAACACATTTCTTGCTGGAGAGAACAGGGGAAAAAAAGAAGAAGAAGCAATGAAATAAGTTAGTGAGGATTTCCTTTTATATTGTTCAATTAAATAACCTTGTATTTAATGAGAAAGGAGCAAGGCAGCAGATGAAAATTCTAGAGCATTACCTGCATTGCATGAAATAAATTTAGTGCCTCCACAGGTCTTTTTGCCTTGCCAAGTACATAAAGTGCAGTTGTGTAAACATGCCTGTATCAAGACATGATGATTTACCAAAATTACCAATCAAAATTTACAATTTTGTGCACTAATTCAAGAGAGTATAAAATTTAGGATTGAGTGATACAAGTCATGAAAACTATATTTAGAACCAGAACAAGCTTTTTTTCTGCAAAGTTAAAAGGTAAAAGAATATATGTTGCAAAAAAGCTACACTCCAAAGACCTAATGTGGGCTGCTTCTCTTTCCTTACAGGACAGAGATTCACCCTGCAGTATGATGATGTTCAATCTAAGCAATATGTAGAACAATCTAGATTTTGTCTGGGAAGAAATTCTGCGAGATTATCTTTGAAATTTACCAAGCATCAAGATAACGAGTAGAAAGGTATTGCCATTCATGCATACAAACAGCAGTGCAAAGAAGATGAGAAGATGTTACCTTAGCCTGTGGGATTTATAGCGTTCTCGTATGTTAAGCCACTCGATAACTTGTAGCACTCGCCTCCAATTGCCCAATTTACCCAATATCTGGATAATCCTCAATACAGAATGATCTGTATATTTAACTCTAGCACTACGCATTGCCTTAGAGAACATCCACTCAGGCATATCAATATCAGCACCATTTAACCTGCCAAAATGAACTACTTCAACTTGGCATGATAAATGAATCATCAAAGATACAAAGAATGAGACTGGTTCAAATTAGGCATGGAAAAGATAGAAGTGCATATTTAATGTAAGGGAACTTGTGTGTTCACAAGGTTATTGACAAAAGCGCACATGCCCACATTGAAAATAGAATAGACAACTATTAGAAATTAGAAAGTTAATTTGATATGATGTAAAGTTCACTTATCTATGATGTAAAATTTTTAATTAAACTTAATGTCTATGAATTGATTTTATACTGGTATATAAAAATTACATCTAAAAATGCAAAGAATGGATATGCTAATAAATCCAAGACAAAGTAAACAAAATTTAAATTAGAAATTATCAGGAACAAATTTCATTCCTTGTAAAATTAAAACTTATTTGGAATTGCTAAAAATATTTAGAATATAAGCATTTTAAGCACATGGATTTAGCTAGGGATTCCACTGGAATGCAGGCTGTCGAGAATTACTTTCTAAAACAAAACATCTTCCACACAAAAAGATATTCCCTTTATTGATGTCTTAACAACTTGTTCCTCCTTTATTTGTTTACTTTTATATGAACTGTCCCGCTTTTTGGCAAGAACAAACCAGGTAAGAAACCAGCGGCACCCCTTGCCCCCCACAGCTAAGGCAGTCCCACCACAACAAAACTGCTTGGTGTGACTGTAATCTAAACATCAAGCGAGGAGAAGGGGCACAATAATCTCTGGACCACTTGTTACAGTGGCAAATCAGATTCCAATGAATTAAAAAATCTATCAGGTATCAGTACACAAAGTTGAAAAAATAAACAAGGATGGACACATTGTATTGGAAATGCTTCTTTTGACACGAGTCAGATTGCTTTGCTCTGTTACATGAAGACTGGTACAATTAATTACACAGCATAGATCAAAATACAAATTAGCTTAGCTACACAGAATTTGCACACACATGCCAACAAAATCTTGTTTGTTATAATGAAAGGATAGTTAAAGTTCATTTGAGCTTATAAAGAAAAAAAGGGAGAATATAAAAGAGTATTACACACCAGTTTCCTAGCTTCTGAATCTTCTCCTCTATTTTCCACATCGGAACTTTTGTCTTGCCGATAACATCATTGGATTGCTCAAAGCTTTTGAAGGCAGCCCTTTCCACTTCAAAATCCTCACCATAGCCCCTTTCAAGAAAAGCCTGATCACTTCTTCTTGATAATCCGTTTTTCTGCACATATCTCTTGTCAGTAATTTTATCAGCCTGACTACGATTCCTGACAAGTCCACCATTCATTTTGTTGACTCCAGAACCAATGTTCTCATTTTCAAAAGCTTTCCCCTTTATTCTGAACATATCCAGGGAATCTTTAGCATAAGCAAGATTTTCTTTTAAGCCAATAGTTCTGTCAATGCTTTCAATATAATCTAATACCATAGGACTTCGTTGTGCACTTTGAGTCTTCATACTCTTGGTTTCATTGAAATCCTCCGAGTCTGAATTGATGCTGCTAGTATGATCCCTCAACCATCTTCCATCACTCATTGCCCCTCCCATTTTCCTTCTAAAATCAGCATGCACACCACTTACTTTTCCACCTACCTTATGATTGAACTCTCTAATTCTACCTCCTCTGTAATCAAGCTCAACATTAACTACATCTTCTTGACCAGAGCATCCATCAACATTGTCACCAAACTCATCACTTTCCATGACTCCAGACACCTTTTCTCGATTGTTAAACCTCCTCAAATCCACATTGCTTTGATGTCTTACTGATGATGGGGGATCACTCTCCTCTAAATCACCCTTCAACTTATAACTCCTATAATTGAGGTCCTCCAACTTTGAATTCGTGCTACTGGTTCTATTCCTCAACCATCGCTCATCACTTGTAGCTCCTTCCTTTTTCTTTCTTGCATTAGCATGAACGTGACTTTCTTTGCCACCCACCTTATGATTGAACTCTCTAATTCTACCTCCTCTGTAATCAAGCTCAACATTAACTACATCTTCTTGACCAGAGCATCCATCAACATTGTCACCAAACTCATCACTTTCCATGACTCCAGACAGCTTTTCTTGATTGTTAAACCTCCTCAAATTCACACGGCTTTCATGTCTTACCAATGATGGGGCATCACTCTCCTCTAAATCACCCTTCAACTTATAACTCCTATAATTGAGGTCCACCAACTTTGAATTCGTGCTACTGGTGCCATTCCTCAACCATCGCTCATCACTTGTAGCTCCTCCCCTCTTCCTTCTTACATTAGCATGCGCATGACTTTCTTTGCCACCCACATCATGATTGAACTCTCTAATTCTTCCTCTTCTGTAATCAAGCTTAACTACATCTTCCTCACCACTGGGTCCATTAGCATTCTCGCCAAACTCATCACTTTCCATGACTTTGGACACCTTCACTCGATCCTTAAACCCCCTAAATTTTACACTCCTTTCATCTCTTTCCAACAATGGGGCATCATTCCCCTCTAAATCATCCTTCAACTTATAACTATTTGACTTATGTACTTGATTCTTTTCTCTTCCAGTCTTAACAGACTCCATAGCTTTCAAATACTCACCAAAAGATGGTTTAAATTCTAACTCTTTCTCAATAACCCCACCACCACCAACCAACCGATTATCAGACTCGTCTTTTTGCAATGCCCTAACTCTTAAACCAACAAATCTCATTGCTTTCCCATGCATGCTCTTCAGTGGAACACCAACAATTGGAGGTCTCCAAGAATTCAAAGGCCCACATGAAGAATATGGTTTCCAGCTACAATTACAGGTTAAGTTCCCATTTCTTTCAAAACCAGATAAACCGTTTTGCCCATTTGTCATAATTATCACCTCCATATTATCAATTCACACCACACAGTCTCACAAGCCAAGCAAACCTCTATCTTGGAGAAACTAAAAAAGATTCCCTAGCTTTGCCTATGATTGAAAAATTACATTATCATAATACAAAGTTGATCTTTTTCGATAATATACTGAAAATTGACCTTCAATAATCTGAATTTGTGAACAAAAACAAAATATAACCAAGAGAATTAGACAAGAATCCAATGTAACTTACGAAAGCTCCCAGGAGCAAAGAATCAGGAGAAGAATGCTCAAATACTATAAAGTCGAGAGTTCTTTTTTAAGGTTTTGTTTCACTCACTGTTTCAGTGCTTGTGGTAGAGACACAGCATGATGACAACCTTTTAGAAGGAACTTATCGTGGTGGCACCGGACTCCAAACTTGCAGTTCTGCCTGTTTGTACAATAGAAGCCGATGTCTGTCATTTGGGCCTTTGGTTTAATATCGGATGTTTATCTAAGGGCTAGTCAATTTATTGGGCCCAAAGAGTAACCTGTCAAGTTCTCCTACTTCTACTTGTAAAACCCAAACAAAAAACCAAGACAAGACCCAGATTTTAAATTAGAAGAATCTACCCAATTGATCTTTTTTTAGCCGGAAAAATAAAAAACATCGTTTGTTTAACTGATTGAAACTTGAGTTTTGATTGGGTCAAAATCTAGGGTTATTAAGTTTTTTTATTTGATGATATAAGTATTCTCAAACTAGCCTGTACATCAACAGAAACTATAACTTTTTCAAATGATGTTAAGTATATTCCTCGCATGGACTTCGAGGAGTTCAATTGGAGTGTTTGAGGACTGAGTGCTACATGAGTGCCCCAATTTATCCCAAGGAAATCACTGGCTTTTGACTTGGGCGAATGCACAGAGAAGTTTTACAAATGAGCAACAATAATTTACAAATAATTCATAACAGCACAGACAACAAGACCATCCATGTGGCCTTCCCTTTACATCTTTCCGTCTTCCCTTTCCTGTCAAAAGTTCATCTTCCCAAGGAAACAAAAAATGGCATGGCTCAAGTTCATGAGCCATCCGCGTGGTCATTATCATTGTCGCCTTCATAATATTCATCGTCGCGTTGGATTTGCTTGTCCTGCGTATGCTCTGAAATGAGAATTCATGATAAATTAGTAACAGGGAAAAACATCTATATGAGAAAACAAAAAACTAAAAGGAGCAAAAAGTGCACTAGTGTGAGACACCAATGTGCTCCACCGTGTGTGCAGCCATCAGTGTGAGAGCACATAATTTTGAGTTTTCCACTTACGATCCATGCGCTCATCGGGGTTTTGCTCATCTTCATCAAAATCAGGAATATAGAAGTCAGGAGGTACCTGCAAATATGATTGTCCTCGTCAACTAATTAATGACTTCCCATGCACAAATAGCTAGTTTAGTTTCCTTTAACCTTTGGTAAAGCACTGCAGATTTGACTAATTGAATCTTTGATTGGTTAGCTTAGCTACTTAACAAATACTTGCATCTAACTCACCTCCTGCATCTGTACACTTGGAGCATGTTGGATGCAACGGAGATTGTCTAGTACTTGCATTTTGATTGTGCTAAGATAAGATTTGCTATTTAAGTTCTCCTGCTCACTCAAACAAAAAAGCAGAAGAAATATTAGGAAGGCTGCAAGAATGCAGGATTGACACTGACAATTTAAACTAGGTCAGACTTTAATAGCAAACCAGAAATCACAGGGAGTTTCAGTGCAGTTACATACCACGAGTCCACCAGGACTTTTCAATGAATAATCAGGAGCAAAGTATTTAATATACTCGTTTTCTGGAATCTCTGCAAGAAAATTGGATTACAATAAAATCAGGTGCTAGAAAAGAGTACTCTGAGCTAATGAATTATGATGTATAGTAGGAGAAGTGTTAACGATAAATGGCAAGGAAAGGGTAGAAGATGAGGCCAATCATGATTAATAGCATGCATTAACTGAAAAATGCAAAATTGTATATAATATGACATTAAAAAATAAAAGAAAGCAAACTTTCATAACATGATATTATTAATGACATGCAACTTCCCAGCCCCAGGAACACTACATAACCTAAGAACTCCACATCAACTCACCACAAAACATCATGTAGTTATGTTTACAATTTCTTCACAGAGGGTGATATGTGAGAATTCATCTTCCATGCTCAGTTTTTCCTTTCAATTAGAAAAAGGAAGTGATTATATTAGCATACCATTGGGCAGTTCTGTGTCTAAAAGAACTCCTGTTTCAACGGTCCAACATCGAGCAACATTCTCTTTTGTGTATCCCCCACCTCCTGTAACCTGCAGGGGAGTAACTTCTTGTGAGCTTTGACTTTTCATAAGAGCAGACTACTAATAGGGATTGAAGCAAATAAGAACATACCAACAAGGGCAAGTTGAATTTCTTCACAAACCTAACACATTCTGCATGCCCTGCAACAAAAATCATAATGCACACCAAATTAATACATCACCAACTGGCTTAAGAACATTCGTGCAGCACCAACAACAGAACAAGCAAATAACTGCTCCGTGTTAGGACAAATGCACAAGGGAAGAAAAAGAATGTAACAATTACAATTAGATATGCACCATCAATGGAAAGATTGAAGCAGCCCAAGCGGTCACCAGCCAACGAATCTGCTCCACATTGAAGAACTATTGCACCTGGCTGATAAGTTTCTACAACCTTGGAAATGATCTGCATGACAGATAATCAAGCAAGTTATTATACTTTGCTACATGTTTTTGTGTCTGTGTGTGTGGGTGGGTTGAAATCTGAACTTACTGTTTTAAATAGTCGAGTGAAGCTTGTGTCATCGATTCCATCTTTCAGTGGTACATTTATAGCATAAAATTTTCCTTCTCTTTCTCCTAGTTCCTTCAATAAGAACCATATCAGTATTTTATTCCAATTTCACTTGGTACAAGACTTGTATGGAACAAGAATGATATTTCAGAAACCAATAGATAAAAGGTTCATAGAAACTAGGGAAAATATTAGGAGGCAGCAGAATATTTCTAAGGTTGTTGCATCCCTGTTTCACTAAATATCAGGTCAAACAAACTGAATTTGAGGGGGAGAAACATAATGTTGCATCATTAAAAAAAAGAAGAAGAAAAAGATAAAGCCAGAAGCAGAGTAACCAGCAACGCTTTGTATGAAAACAGAACAAGGTAACAAACACAAAAATACAGTTGCCTGACATTAGGAATATAAAAGAATGAAAAAGCATTAAATAATCACCTTAACATCACCAGTTCCAGGAAAGAACATATCTCCGTACTTGTGAAAACTCACAGTCATCACCCTGTCAAATGATAAACAAAAATTTTGTATTTCTCATGGCTTTACCATTCCACTACCAGTCCAAATTCATAATAGAATATGAACTTTCACTACCTGTCAGTGAAATAAAAGGCTTCTTCAACACCATCACCATGATGAACATCTATATCAATGTACAGAACACGAGCATGGTGTTTCAAAAGCTCCAAAATCCCCAAAACCAGGTCATTGATGTAACAAAAACCAGATGCCCCGCACTTTTTTGCATGATGTAATCCACCGGCCCAATTTATAGCAATGTCACACAGTTGATTGTTCAACCTATGTGCAGCATCTGTCAGAAAATGCCAGTCAGCATTTAAGGTTGAACGGTAAATAAAGCTAAATGGTCAAACCAAACAATGCTATGACAGCAGTCTTCTCTTGTTTTCATTTACCTATAGTTCCACCAGCATAAATCTGACAAAATTCAAACAAGTTTTCGAAGACAGGGCAATCTTCTCCAAGGTTATCTGTGAAAAGAAGATCGGAAATATAAACACAATAGCATTACAATAGCCTATCTGAATTACCAAATCCACAGATACACCTAAAATAACCTAAAACGAGATTTAACGTACCCAAAATCCCAACATGTAAAGATGCCTTATCCCTTCTTAGGAAGGGAACCACACATGGTCACTTAACATACCAAATCAAAAGCACCAATAGAAAGCCTCAAAGACCATAAATGGGTTCATGTGATAATTTCACACGGTTTCATCTTAATGCACTCAAGATGGAATATCATATTCAGATAAAAATTAATTCCAAAAAGATCACGCAATAAATCAATCATAACAATTTCAACGGCTGACCGAGTTACTATCACTTCATTCATATCTAATCAAGCCAAAAACTTCACAAGGTCAAACACATTATTTAGACCTTGCCGTGAACAATCAAGTAGTCATTCTATCAGCGGTAAAAACAACATCTTTTCACCCCATTCTTCACCTAAACAAAATTCACTTTCATAGCTAATCATCCATAAACCCTAACTCATTCCACGTCTAACAAAAACAACAAATACTTAACAACACAAATAAAAGAAAAAACTTCAACTAAATTTCACAACAAAAGAGCCATACATCTAGCCAATTCCCCCGCGAACAAGTGCTGAGTATCTGGCGTAATCCGATGCAAAAATTCAACATAATCCTCGGAATGAAACTGAGCAAGCTCAACAGGATATGCCTTGTGTGGTCTCTGCATTAAAAATTCGACATAAACAAAAAAAAACCCCTGCCATTTTTTTCCAGAAAACTACGCAGAAAAATACTAGAAATTTCAAATCTTTAACCTAACTTACATAAATTTCCATCTTCTTGTGTAGCTCATAAGAGAGAACAAGATGGTGTGTCATACAAAGTCTGTGTGGCTTCATTGGATGGTTTGGTCCAAAATAAACACTGCCCACATCACCTATATCAACAAAAACCCATCTTTATAAATCTTCATAAATTCGTTATAAAAAAAACACTGTAAAGAAAATTTTGGATGCTACATCAGTGAATGCTTGCTTGCAAAGATCAAAACAGCTTAAACAAAAACAAAAGACACAGAAAGTTCAAAACTTTTTCACTTACCATCATAGAAATAGGCAATTCTGTCTTTGGAGCGCATTCTCTTAGAGAAAAAATTAGCAGAAAATGATGTGTTTTTCAAGTCCGTTTATTACAGTTCCCTATAGTTTTTAGGGGAGGGACACCGTATAGTGCAGGTGCATGTTTTGAATATATACATTATCCGCACCAGATTATTGCCTTTTCTATTGTGACAAACATACCCTTGATCTTTTAATAATATTACAGCTTTGCAGTTTAAAGTATCTTCTGTCTGTCTAAAACCCTAATACAAAGCAAGCAAAGCTCATATCTTTCGTTCACTTTCTCGTTCATAGCCTTCTCTGTCACTTGAAGTAGCTAAGGAGCCGCCTTTGGTAAACTAACCATGCCTAAGTCTAAGCGTAACAGGCCAGGTTTGCTCTGTTTTTCTCTTCTTTGATCATTTACATGACTGTTTGTGTTTTGTGGGCAGTTTAGTCTATGAGAGAAACTGGTCTTTGAGACTTTGTTGTTTTAGGTTTTAGTTTGTTCAGTAATTGTGGGATTTAAATCTTTTTTTGATATTATTTGTTTTTGAATTGGGGTTTCATTATTTTGGATTTTGAGCTTAATTGTTGTTGTTAAATTTGAATTTCAGCGATAAGTAAAGAGATTGAGGGATTGTTATTGTTGGACAAGGTGTTTAGCCTGGTTGTATTCGAATTATGCAGACAAATTCGTTATGTTATTTCTTGTTCTATGATGCTTCTGGCATAAGGGATAAAAAAATTTCTCGAGCTCAAAAAAGAAGAAAATTTGCAGTATGGATGATAGATTTTTGTAATTTATATAGGTTTTATTGTGTGACATGCAGTTACATTATCAAAAACAAAGAAGAAGGGGAGGGAGCATAAAGAGTCTATAGTGAATTCGATAAGGGATGCTGTGGAGAAATACAATTCTATTTATGTGTTTAGTTTTGAAAACATGAGGAATCTCAAATTTAAGGAGTTCAGAGAACAGCACAAGTTGACCAGCAGGTAACTTCACTTTTTTTTGTTTTTGGTTTCATTTTAGTGGAAAACAAACCACTGATGACTGTATTCTCCTCTGGGTTGTTGAATGAGACTTCTTGTGGTTTTGGGGATGTTATTTAACTATATGTGAATCACATTTCTTTAGTACCTTATTTTTTCTGTTTTGCCGTCTTGTGTTTAGGTGGGACGAGTGTACCCCCCCCTAATTTTTTTTTACTCAATTGTTTTGAACAGCACTTGTCTCTTCTTATCATCTTTTATATCACTTGATTATGTGCCTTACCAACGTTCTTTTTATGGTTTTCAGATTCTTCCTTGGATCAAACAAAGTAATGCAGGTTTCTCTGGGTCGATCTGCTGCTGATGAAATCAGGCCAGGTCTTCACAAAGTTTCTAAGGTAGCATTAACATCTACACAGCCCATAGTTTCTGCATTCTTCTATTTTGATAAATAATTCTAGTGAATTACCTTTTCTTTATCTTTTTTTTCCTCTCAGCTTCTACGTGGTGATGCTGGAGTTTTTCTTACCAACTTGCCAAGAGAAGAAGTTGAAAGGTAACCTTGGTACTTACCATGATATATGCTGCATCCTTTACTCTCCTTGGTTGTTTGTAAACCAAACAGAAAGCCTAGTGTCTTGCAGTTACCAGGGTTATTCTGGTCATCTTTGGATGTTGTAGAAAGAAACTTCAATTTCTTGAATAATTCTCATTTATGTTATTATTGGAATGGAAAGAAGAGGAGATCTAATACTCAAAAATAAGGTTGATGGATTTGGCTGTATTGCCGACATTCTACAGACCTATTCAATCATAAAAACACTTCTTCATGAGGTAATGTTCTTGGTTGTCTTTTTGCAGGTTGTTTAATGAATACGAGGAATACGACTTTGCAAGGACAGGAACCACTGCAACAGAAACAGTATGTGAGATCTTTTATGTCTGGTAGTAGACTTACATGCTGTTTGAATAGATTGAGCTATGCCTTGCTGTGTTGAATCAAAGAACTAGGCACAAACTTGCAAACACATGTATAATGATTAATGTCTGTGCCCTTTTTGTAATTGACTAAGAAAAGGATCACCATGGATCTTTAATTTATTTTTCAGCTCATCCTTGTCAACATCCACTTGGGGTTCTCAGTTGAGAACAGTCAAAAATTTTATTTCATCTTTGTCAAGTTATAAATGCTTTGTTTAGATGCTATAGAGATCTATCACCTACTTTTCTGGACCATGTTTAAGTTCTATATTTCTAACATCCTGACTTGTGACTGGATTTTCAGGTGGAACTCAAGGAAGGACCTCTCGAACAGTTTACTCATGAGATGGAACCCTTTTTGCGCAAGCAAGGGATGCCTGTTCGGTTGAACAAGGGTACATAATTGCTTTCAACTATATGCTGTCTTGCATGCTCACAAACACGCACGCATAAGACCTGAGGTCTGTTATTAAATTAATCATGTTCTGCAGGTGTGATCGAACTTGTTTCAGACTTTGTTGTCAGTGAAGAGGGGAAGCCTCTGTCCCCTGAGTCTGCTCGCATTCTGGTTAGTTATGACCTTTAACTTTGCCAGCTAGCTAGCATACTCACAATATTTCTTCATTCTTCTGGTTAAAAAAGGGCATGTGGCTGATGTATTACTTCTTTCAGCGCTTGTTAGGAACCAAGACAGCCACCTTCAAGCTTCACTTAATTTGCAGATGGAGCCCAGAGGATTTTGAGCTTTATAGGGAAGGTCTAGATGATTCAGATGTTGAATCTGCCTAAATCGATGAATCTTTGAGAGAATACCTGTGTAATACAAGTTAATTGCAGTAGGTGTTGAATTTTTGTGGTTCTAGGTGAGAGGAGCGCGAGCTGTCTTTTTGTGCCTTTTGGGAAATCGAAGACGCATGTTATGTTATTGTCGAGTTTAACCTTTGAGCTTAATTTTAGCTCCATTTCTTCTGAGTTCTTGTCAGGGTCCGCATGTGTTGTGCTGGTGATAATTAGCAGTGCAAGAATTATACTTGCAATCTGGATGTTTAATATCTCAAAGGAAAAACAAAAATTCCATGGCTATTTACTGCTTGTGTAGAACAGTAGAAACGAATGGTCCTGGTCCCAGATAAACAGTTTATGGTGGCGGTCAATTTCTAGAAATGGATGGAATTGGAGTGTCATAAGCTCTTCAGAAAAAAGTGTTGCGGTGTAACAGATTGAACGTTCCTGGAAAAGTATTTTCCAGTGCTCGTATCTCTGAAGGAGGAAGTCAAGATGTTCCAAACTCCATTATGTCTAGCCCCAAGGAGCAAGAAAGGAGAGAACGAAAAGAAACAGAAAAAAACAACAGTAATGGTTGAAGGGAGATTTTCATTGGACCTATGATGGATAGAAGAATTATATTTAGGATACTATTTTACAAGAAAATGTAAGGGTAATAAGATAAAGAGCATGAGTTAATGGGTTATTGAGTGAACTCGTGAGTAATCGAGTCAATTTGAACTTATTAGAACTCGTGAGTAATCGAGTCAATTTGAACAATTTGAACTTATTTTTGCTTGTCCTTTTTAATTCAGCTTAAATTTGGTTGGTTCGCAGGTTTTCTATGTTAATTCACTTAACTATCAATAAATTAAAAGTAAATGAGTCTTTAAAATAGGGATCAAACAATCACTACAATTAAAATTTTGGGATTAATTTAGAAATTGAAGAATTTCCCAATTCATTTTTCTTTAATATTTGTTATTCGTGAAATAGCATCATACTAAACTTTTCAAAAAAAAAATATTTTGTGAACTTTTGTTTTCGTAGTATGGATAATCAGTCTAAAGTTTGATGAAAAAGGAAAGAAAAGTTGTCGAAAAATAGCTCAAAAATCAATCCAAAAAATACATACACTATTTAAAAAAAAAATTCAATAAATCATGATAGTAGGGGGCACAGAGAATAAACAAAAACAAAATAGGAATATAGTGTAATTGAACAAACATATGGGGCACCAAGTCTAATTTAAACCAAAAGAGAGTCACAAATTAGCCTTCAGTGTGTTCTCTCATCTCAAATCTCTGTAGCCTGCTCTTCTCTGCTCTCTCTCAGCATCCAAACCCTAACGAGATTTTCTTGAGCTTCATTCAGCAAGGTAAGGCCTTTCCCCCCCTCATATCCGTTTCTACATCTTCTCTCAAAACCCTAACCTTTTTGGCCTTTTAATTGACTGTTTCTCGCTGGGATTCTTTGAATCAATCTTTCATTGCAGAACTAGGGTTTCGGATTCTATTCACTTTGGTGCTTTATAATTTGACTTATAGGCTTTGATTATGATCTTATGATGTTTGTTTTATATCTTTTTATCTGAATTTAGATCACTCTGCACTTTCAATAAAAATATGTTTCATTTAGATCTGAGAATTTGATGTAAAGATTGCTTCTTTAAGCACCTAATTAGTATCTAATTTATGTAAAGACTGTTTCTTTAATTACCCAGTTAGTATTATATTGCTCTTACTGTGAATTGGGTTGTTTGTTTGGGCTTTCAGTTATCAAAACCTGTTTTTTTTTTGCTAGGTCCATATTGTTTGGTTATGTTCTTATTCAAGTTATCGTGGATATTGTTTATGTGTAAGCATGATGGATTTGTTGTTTGAGCTTAAAACGATTGGGATTTTTTTTTTTTTTGGAATGTGAAATTCAAGGATGACAACAGAAGCACCTTTCCGACCAAGGGAGAAGCTCGTTGAGCACCAGAAATATTTCCAAAGCATTCACAAGCATACATATTTGAAGGGACCTCTTGATAAGGTTACCTCTGTTGCCATTCCAGTAGCATTGGCAGCCACCTCACTTTTTCTTATTGTGAGTAGTCTATTATGTTCTTTTACATGCTAACTTCTGTTAATGTTTTTCTGTCTCTGAAAGGTTGGTGCCAAATTTCTCATTGGGTTTCCACTACACAAATTATGAACATGTCATATGTTTTTTTCAGGGGCGAGGGATCTATAACATGTCTCATGGGATTGGAAAGAAGGAATGAGGAGGCTGTTTGTGTAATGATCACTGTTATGTTTTCACTGCTCATGTTTTGAAGGATTATTTGCTTTGCATGTGAGCAG